TTTCAAGTAAGTAATTTTACCTTTTATATAAAGGTTATAAATAAAACTTACTTCTTATCTTCATCCTTGTATACAGGGTGTCCTGGAACTCTCTAACAATATTTTAGGGCATTGTTCCTGAGTAAGAAACATATCTAAATATCATATTTAAATCGTCCGGAAGTCCTTAGTTACTAACACAGCCGCCATTTTGTTTTTTCACTTATTATTTTTTTTCTGGAAAGTGGTTAAAGATACGAAATTGAAACTTTGCAAAAACATTTCTGACAACTAGACAAAGCTACAAAAAAATTATGACAATTTTTCAAATTCACAAAACAAAATGGCGGCTATTTAAACTTATGTTTCTTAAATCACTCAAAAACTGTTTATTTTACAAAAAAATGTAATGGCCGCAATTTTGTTTTATGAGTAAGAAAAATGTTCATAATTTTCTTAGTAGCTTTGTCTAATTGTTATAAATGTTTGTGCAAAGTTTCAATTTTGCATCTTTAACAACTTTTTAGAAAAAAAAAAATAAGTAAAAAACAAAATGGCGGCTGTGTGAGTAACTTTCTGCACAATTTAAATATGATATTTAGATATGTTTCTTACTCAGGAAGAATGCCCTAAAATATTGGTAGATATTTCCGGGACTCCCTGTATAAACATATTTATGTAAATAAGGATTGAAGATCATCAAAAACTCATCTCGCGTCTGAGTAGCAAGCTACGTAGTTTCATTAAAAAATCGTGAAACCCTTTTAACCTTTTAATTTCATTTCCTTTAGTCAGCTAATTGTAATTAAATCATATATTTAATAATAATTTTCATTTTGATTGTCAGGTTTAGTTTTTAAAATAAATGTGTAGTTATTTTTAAATGTTTATATCCTATGTTTATTGTATAAAAACTTATTATAAACTAGTAACAATATTTTAGCTTTACATGGCACTAAAATAAACAAACCAGAACACCTGATTTGATGGATTCAAATTAAAAAAAAAATCATTGTACATTGTTAAGATTGTATAAACTGCCTTTGTTGTAGTCTATATATGACAAATCAATGTAAAAATCACTAACTGATTATACAGTTTAAGGGAGCCAACCCTCCCCCTTTAATTTTAATCAGTCAACTTAATCTACCCAAAATATGAACTGTATTGTGTTTATAACCAACAACCAATATACAATTGAGTTTTCTTTGACACATGTTGAAATGTGTTAAGTGCTAAAATTGGAATTTCTCTATGGCAGGCAGTGTGCCAAAACCAGTTATACATGTTTTTCTTTTTAAGAAGTTTATTTTCTCGACTTTACTGTCACTTAAGAATAAAAGTGTTATATTTAAACATATATTATAAGTTAATTTTTTTGTCAGTAAATTTTAATTTTTTGTTAATTGCTGCATTTTTATGAAATACTAATGCAGTTTTACAACCATAATTCCGACTCGTACTCCTTTGCTTACCATACACAAAGATACACTATTAAAAACTATTAAAATCATCCCACAAATTTAGTTGAAGACCCAGTATTTTGATGAAAGTATTTTGTCTATGCAAGCAATAATAACATTTAGGATTGATGTTGGTTTATTTTATATTCTATGGTGAAAACGGCTTCTGATCAATAATCCTTTATTTCAAAAGACACTTTCTTTGATATAAACTTTGCTTGCATATGAATATCATTAAAAAAGAAACAGTTATCTTAGTAATTAACTTAAACAATTTTGTAAACTAACAATAATGCAACAATAAGAACAGCTGATTTAGCTCATGTCAAATTGTTAGGACTGTTACACACATGTGTTAAGTATATTACATAAACAACTATTATAAACACATTGCTTATGCATTAACCACACTTTATGGCGAACAGAGTGAAGTTAACCTCAGATGAAAACTCAATGTTTACAATGGTTAAGTATTGATACGCTAAGTAAGGTTTGTGTTGGCAAAGATGGCTTGTTGAGTTTCTGCCAAATGTTGTGATGGATGCTTTCTGACTTTAATCTTGATTTTAACTCCAGATTGCCAAGCTGTTTGGAGAAATATATTTGTTTGCTAAGTTTCTTAGCAGATAGTTTTACTAAAAAAAACTGTTGAGGAATAGGTGTTCTTGTAATTTTTATTGTAACACGTCTGTGTTATTCTGTATAGTAGCCCAGTAAATAGAGACAGAAATAGGGGGGTTAACTTACAAACGGTCCGGTAAGTCTAAATTTTTTATATGTTGTCTAGGATGGTAAGTAGGTGTTAAAACCGCAAAATGCACAATTCTACCCCCTCCGCGCCCGCCGCCATATTGAAAAATCGAAAAAATCGGTACTTTCTAGAGATTTTCGCCTATATCTCCGTTTTGGTGCGTTTTAGCGAGAAATATGTAATTGCAATGTTGTAGACAATTAAATTTTCTATAATATAAGTATAACAATTTGGTTCTAAGACAGTAGTAGGATACGAAAATATTCAAATTATTTTACAATGAAACTTAAATTTTTTTGTTATTTTGCCAAATCTCTGTCTTTAGATCGCTGTAATTCAGTAATGAAATATTCTAGGATAACAAGTATCCCAATCACATGTATAGAGCATTTAATTACCTACAAAATGCTTCTATTCTTTTATCCAACCGTTTGATGTGTGGCTGAAAAAAAAACAAATTAAAAGAATGGGTCTATTTTTTCGCTTTTGTGACCTAAAAATTAACAAATTAACTTTCAGTTTTCGGTTTAATTTTCAGTTAATGAAACCATACTAACTGTACTTACTACATGTAACAGTGTAATGCTCATGATGCAGGTACTATATTCCTCCCTTACAAATATACACTGGTGAGAGGAGGTGTTAAATTTAAAACAACCCACCAACACAGCAAGTAAATGTTTAAAGATTCATTTATTTAAACAAAATAGGATCAAAATAAGATAAATACGTAATGTCAATGTTGTAGACGGTTAAATATCCTAATATATTATGTATAGTAATTTGTGTGGACTTGTATGGATACGAAAAAATGGTGTTTGCCGTAAAAATAAATAAATGAAAATATTCAATTTTGTTTACTGTAACAAATCAAACTTTCTGTTATTTTGCAAAATTTCTTGCATCAAGGGATTCATCAAGGGGGTTCATAAAGGGTGAACATCAAATCGATTCAAGAACAATTAAATCCCGCCTACTGGAGTAGTACGGTGAACAACAATTAGGATATCATTGTTGATACTCACAAAAAAAACGACAATCTGTTTCAAAAATACAGGATATACAATACTCACCGACAACTGGTACAGTACAATGAAATCCACAGATCGAGAAGGAGAGAGACTAAGAGTAGTAAAAGCAGCAGCAGACACAGTTTTGGAAGATATTAGATGTCAGGTGTACAATACCACAGAATACCCACCCACTGACCAGATTTTGAATGATGTTACAACAGTTATTCCACAATCTTTGCCCACTCTCCGTTATATCAATCCGTTATAACAAAGAACAAGAAAAGATCTCTGGAGAAATTGAAAAAGAAATGTGTGGCCTTATCGCACGCTGTCATAGCTGCTGCAATACCAAGGTCCTTTGTGTCACCCCTTGTGACTGGATTAAGTGTATTCATGTACAAAAAGTTTGGTTCAAAGCTTCTGGTAGATTTAATGTCATCTTTTGGATTTTCTTCCTCTTATCACGAAGCACAATTACTTGAAGTGTCTACCATCATGCAACAACAACTACCTCTGGTGAAACCCAACCGTGGCGATGCTTTCTGCCAACTGGTTTTTGATAACGCCGACTTCAACGTCAATACTCTAGATGGTCGAGGGACTTTTCATGCCATGGGTGGAATAATATGCATAACCCCATAAGATGCCTACTAAACAAGCAAAGCTCCAGTAATAAATTTTCTAATATGTTAGTTATTTAGTTTATTTTAATTCTATTAGCCATTAGTTTACTTATTTATTAAACGTTTATTATTACAGTATTTTATCTTATTTTGTTTAAATAAATGAATCTTTAAACATTTACTTGCTGTGTTGGTGGGTTGTTTTAAATTTAACACCTCCTCTCACCAGTGTATATTTGTAAGGGAGGAATATAGTACCTGCATCATGAGCATTACACTGTTACATGTAGAAAGTACAGTAAGTATGGTTTCATTAACTGAAAATTAAACCGAAAACTGAAAGTTAATTTGTTAATTTTTAGGTCACAAAAGCAAAAAAATAGACCAATTCTTTTAATTTGTTTTGTTTGTTATTCAGCCCCACATCAAACGGTTGGCCTAAAGAATAGAAGCATTTTGTAGGTAATTAAATGCTCTATACATGTGATTGGGATACTTGTTATCCTAGAATATTTAATTGTTGAATTACAGAGATCTAAAGAACGAGATTTGGCAAAATAACAAAAAAAATTACGTTTTATTGTAAAATAATTTGAATATTTTCGTATCCATAAGTCTTAGAACCAAATTGTTATACTTATATTATAGGAAATTTAATTGTCTACAACATTGCAATTACATATTTTTTGCTAAAACGCACCAAAACGGAGATATAGGTGAAAATCTCTAGAAAGTACCGATTTTTTCGATTTTTCAATATGGCGGCGGGCGCGGAGGGGGTAGAATTGTGCATTTTGCGGTTTTAACACCTACTTACCATCCTAGACAACATATAAAAAATTTAGACTTACCGGACCGTTTGTAAGTTAACATACCTCTATTCACTGGACTATAGGGTGTTATTTAAAATATAACCTGATTTATGTTACTGTATGAAGGATTAGAGTAAATTTGTGTAACCCCTGCCTTAAAGATTTCTTACATAGGCATACTGTATTGCCTTTAAAAGTAAAACCACATTGCCCTCTCAACCAGCTTGGGCAAGCCCTGCTTTATTGCCAGTCTATGTACCATGTTTTAGCAGTTCCTAGCCAGGCTTCCCGTTTGTCTTCTGACATCTAATAATAATAGAGTGATGAGTGAGTTCAATACTAAATGGGTTATTTTTCAGTCCACCGACCTTCAAGACCGCAACTCCTACCACCAGAACACATTCGAAGCAACTGTTGATGAAAGAGAAAGCGCTTGAAGAAATTAAACAAGAACAAAAACTCAAAGAGAAACAGAGATTAGAACAGGAAAGAAGTGAGAAAGAGAGACAAGAAGCGGAAAGTAGATTACAAGAAAAACAAACAAGGTCTTTCCCCAGAGTTCCTCACAATGTTGGAGTCCATTTTGATGTGCCTTCGCAAGTTTTTAAGGTATTACAACTTTGTAGTTTAGAAAAGCTCTAGTGAATCCAGGCACATTTTCTCCTAAAATATACAATTTAAAGCAAAATTCCTTCATAAAAAGTCAAAAATTTTGAAAAGATTTCAAAAGTTTTAAACATTCCTCAAACCATAAACATCCTTAAACATTTCAATTATTATTTAGATCTTAAGTAATACCTCTGGATATTATGATAGAGCAACATTTTGCTGAGTAGACAAGCACTAAAATTAAATTATAAATGTTTGTTTAGGAACAAATTTAATAGGTTTTGATTTGAGGAGAATTGGATTAAAATAAAATACCTACAGATACTTACACAACAAAAACCATCAGTGCGAGACCTGTCCATAAATTAAGGTTTTGCGTCACAACCATGGGCGCCCGCAGGATTTGGAACAGGCGGTGCAATAGATAACAAACATCCGGGGTCCAGGGGCCTTCCCCTTGGCAAATTTCTGAATATACTGTTTTTAAACGAATTGTTAACTCATATAAAGCTTCCAAATAAAAATGAATATTGTGCATCAAGGAACAGTCACAAGGGTGGGGGCGAACCAGGGGGTATGGGGGGTTCAGGCCCCCCCCCCCCCCCCCGATCAATTTGTGTAAACTAAGTCTCCAAAATGGCAGTTTAATACCATTTCTTTGTCCAAAGTTAGCGTGACAAATTATTTTACGCAATGTATACTGTATGCACTACTGTATTACATGCAGTAAAAAAAAATATGTAATATGTATGCCCGAGGGAGGGAAGGAAGGATGGTAAGAGCTATTTAAAGTTAAGTTATGTGTAATTTATATGGTTAAATCCACGAGCTAAACAATTTAGAAAGGAACATAATTCACAGTTGAATTAAGAAACAACCAAGAACTTGATGTTTTGAAAATGTTGTTATAAAGTATAAGAGTAGTACGTCTGTGCCTCCCCTACTTATTTGATTTAAACATTAATTGAAAATACATTCGTAAATTGGCCATTATGAAAATTGCAGAAAATTTCAGGTATTAAATTTATTTCCTAATTTTTATAGCCAGGGGGGTGCAAGTGGACCCCCCTGAGGGTGCCCACGTCACAACCTAGCAGTGTAAAATATGAGACTAATGTAGTGTTCTTTACTTCATCCACTATTTATCCTAGACGGTTCCCATCTTCTGCCTAGTAAAACAATAATTATAATAATAATAATGTGTTCTGCCTAATAGTCTCATCGTAGTAGCCAAAAACGATGTGAAGGAAAATGTTGCTCCCGCCGAGTAAAAATCACTCAAAACAACTTCTGTTGTTAAATTTTTGGGTTCAAAGCGTCTGCCGTTATTTAAATCTGTTGAAAGTTAACAGATGGGTATGCATAAAAGTGTCATCATGTACAACCTGTGTTTATCAGTTTCTATCAATGCGGTGATTAAAGTTGAAGAAATCTTCCTTCCTGACTGACATTCCTGCGTGTTTAAGACTAGTAGGAATTACTGTTGTCCTTAGTCTCATACAGACGTCCTCTATCAGTTAGGGAATCTCTTCTTTGGACATACCACGACTCGTTTGCAACATTCCTCTAGCGAAACTGATAAACAACTGCAGCGAGCCTACACTGCAATGTACACGGCTAATGTTCAAAACCACCTCAGAATTCAACCTTCTCCTTACAAAGATTCTCCAACGCTTACCTTCATCCACATTCGTCAACTTTCGGTGGACTGCAACAGCGGTTGCCTCTCAGAGAAACCTAATCACAGATTGTGATTCATACTTGGTGGGAGCGTTGATTTTCATTCATATAGGCTAGTACTCGTCTACTATAGACTACAAGTTTGATGGAAGCAGTAGCCTGCTGGAAGAGGAGTAGTGGATGAAGTAAAGATTACAGTGCTTGTGTCAGTTTTTATCTAGCTCTCTATGCCGCAACGGTAGCTTGGCAAAGACCTAAATTTATCGACAGCTCTTATACTTTTTATGAAAATAACTGAAATTTAAATACAGTAGAATCCCGCAAACTCGGCACTCGATAACTCGGCAGTCTGGAAAACTCGGCCATCACCTGAATATGATAATTAGTGATTTTTTGAGTCCGAGTTAAACATTGACTCAAGCCAGCTCAAGTCATATAATTCACAACTCTGTAACAAGGATTTGTACTACAAAAATGTGCGACTGGGAGTAACGCAATACAGTAGAGTCCCACAAACTCGGCGTAATGTGGATTGGAAGGGGGCCGAATTTGTGAAATGCCGGATTATTGGGAACTAGGGTTAAAAATAAGATCAATACAATTTTAAAGCTTTTTAACCGCCTTTTTTATATAACAAGCCAGTATTAAGTGACTATATCTGATCTTGTATATCTGATCTTGTACTATATCTGATCACTTAATACTGGCTTGTTATATAAAAAAGGCGGTTAAAAAGCTTTAAAATTGTATTGATCTTATTTTTAACCCTAGTTCCCAATAATCCGGCATTTCACAAATTCGGCCCCCTTCCAATCCACATTACGCCGAGTTTGTGGGACTCTACTGTATTGCGTTACTCCCAGTCGCACATTTTTGTAGTACAGAATAATTAGATAAGCAAATAATCACCATAAACCTACTTAATCTAAAAATCAAGGTTTTAAGGTAATTTTAAGTGGTTTAAATATTGTTGTCCTTATACTGTAAAAAATTATCCTTCCATAGTCTTTGACCATGTTTTGGTTCCAGGTGAAATCAGTTCTAGAGAACCCAACACAATACCATGTGGTTGAAAAACAAAAGATGCAAGTGCGGCAATACCTGCGGGACGAGATGGCTCAGTTGCGAAGGTCGTCTCTCCCGATGTCTCAGGCCAGCAGTATGCCACCTGCACAGACCCCGGCCCCGTCACTACCACTACATACCAACAGCTTACCTCCGCCTCAGCCCCACACATACACAGCGGGGCCTCCACTGAGCCCCGACGTCCCCATGTCTCCTGGACTCAGCTCAGTTGCCACCAGTGTGTCAGAGGTATGTACATGAGCATGTTTCACCTTTGAACCTTTCTTCACAAACCATTCTATTCAAGTTTCACCACCTGAGCCCACACCAACTACCTGTACCACAATACCGACCCATACCATTGAATGCTGCTTTTAATTTTTGCTTTGTATATTTGTTGATTATGCCAGGTTCAAGAAGTGAATTATATTAGCTATTTCCTTAGTATTGCCTCAGTTCTTGATCTAAAAGTTTATACCTTTTACCAGCTCGTGTGACATCTTCAGAGGATCTTGTATTATCTTCATATCACTACTATTGTCTATATTTACAAATATTTACACACGTCACTGGCATATCACAGTCAGGTTGAGCGAGTAGCTTGACAATGGACATATGGGAGACTCAGTTGGTGGGAGGTCTTTCTCCGCTTTCCTCACTATTCTAAACAAAACCATTACTGAATGTATAAGAAAGTTACTAAATACAAGCATGCAAATTTTAATGGATATAACAACTTCCAAACTCAACCAGCTCTTGAACTTACAACTTAATGTAGGATGGTGATAATGATAAAACTGGAAACACAGCAACAAACTGGCAACACTCTGAGATCAAAGCATCCGCCCGATCATTAACCTGTACGTCCCTACCCTCAGCAGTCGAACACCTCTAATTTCTACACCTCCTGTCCAATAAATACAACGGACAAAGAATCATTGTGTGTCCGTCATAACGTTACTCGCTCCACCTAACTGCAATACCAGTGAATTGAGTGAATATTTGAAGTACAATAGTGACAGTGATATGAAGATAGCGTAAGAAGACCCCCTGAAGATGCCACATAATCTGACGAAATGTACATAGGGTTCACAAACGGCTATGTATTACACATGTCAAAGTCTTATCCTATCAGGAGCTGAAGAGGGCCTCAATAGACTCCCCTACTGGAATTTCACAATCTTGTTCCAACAAGCATTGCAAAGTGTCAAAACCAAATATTCAACAAAAAATTTTCAAATAAATATGTTCTTTATCTAGAATTGTTTAAAAAATCTACATAACTGGAAATTCACAATTTGTTAGGTTCTAAGGGTTCTAAGGGTAGGCCCTAATATGAGCGTAAAATGAGCATCATATTTATGGCCCTATCAAACCCTCCATTTAGGATAATTTTATTTAATGTTCAATGATGGACATTGTAACAAATGTTGTGACAATGTACCAGTCTGCTCTTCAAGGTTAGGAAGGAAGTAGATAACAGCTGCTGATAAATCCTACAACAGTACCATACCCAGATATGAGAGTCTGACGAATCATTTATCATTGCACACACAGTACATGTTGTTGTTGAATCGAGTAAAAAAAGGAAGAAGGTAATACAAAATCATAATAGCGATATGAAAGTAATTATAATGGGGAAAGACCAGACTTATTTGTCACCGTGACTTCACAGCCACTTGAATAAATCTAATTGTATTTGAAAGCAGAATCCGTAAAAAAGATGTACACCCCAAAACAATGGTGGTAATCAGAGTGTCCAAACTAAATAAAATACCCCCGCCGCAGCAAACCTGCCGACTAAGCGAATTTCCATTTGTCTGAATTGATTTTCAGTTAAATATATTTTAATAACATTAGGTATAACGAGTACCTAGGTTTGCTGCTACAAGGAAACTAATAAAGTGTGTTTTTGAGTAAAATATTGATAGCTTAGTACAAAATAAATAAATTTGCCAAGTTTGATCAAAATATATCCATAAACAAGCAAACTACAACATTTGACAATATTCTCCATAAGAATAACATGGGAATTTTAAATTTACAATTTTTTAAATTTTCTCCGTTACTAATAATTGAACAAAAATACTTTTATATACTAAATTATTTGTTTTTTTAAGCTCTTTAAAAATGTCTAAAGAGAAATCGGGAAATTTTGTGTTTTGAGGGTCAAAAGTGAGAAAAACCAATTTTTCCCCATAAACCCCCCGTAAAGCCCCGTTCCCATGGTCCAATCGTGCTGGTTCGCGAACTCATTCAAGTTTATCCTGCTTTACACCTTTAAACCAAATTTCATCAAAATCGGACAAAAATTACTCAAGTTATCGCGTTCACGGACGTATATATATATATATAAGTCTATATATATATATATATATATATATATATATATATATATATATATATATACATATATAAAAATTTGAACGAATGGTGTTTTTGGCCTCTGGGGACATCAAAATGAAAAAGTAAATCGGTCCCGGGTCTAGGTGTTACCGTGCCACCTACGGTAATAGCTACTTCCCTATAGGGAAATTCGCTAAAAACAAAAAAAACAAAAAAAAAACTATGAGAGCTTTCTTAGAGATAAAGAAGTAATAACAAAAATCAAAATAGATAACTCAGGTGGGCATAGAGGAGGACACAAAAATAAAAAAAGGGTCAGAAGGTTTAAGAGGAATGCAACCTTTGAGAAGAATAAAATCATCTTGATTCAGCTTAGATTCGAAAATGGCAGCCATTTAAAATTTTTAAACTTAAATTACTCAAAAATGGCTGGTTTTAAGAAGAAATGGCAAGAACACCTTTATTTAGCATTTTTAATTATATTATCAAACGATACCATTTTCAAAAAGATCAAATAATAAATAGCTGAAATATTACGATTTTTAGTTGTAAAATGGGGTTGAATAAGGCAGAAGCTAGTCAGGTTTGCCCCATTTTACAACTAAAAATCATAATATTTGAGCTATTTCTCATTCGATCTTTTTGAACTTGGTATCTCTTCGGGCTTCAACTAGTTAATAAGGGCTTTCTTAGGGAGGTGTGAGATTAAAATAATGTTCCTTGAATTATGCACATGAGGTACTGTTACTCCTAAAGCTGCTGGTTGTCGATATCGCATAGTTTTCTATAAAAACAAATGCGCCCGGAAAAATACTTTGTGTCCTACGTTACGTATCTTTTAACAATTAAAAAAACCCATTAATTACTTAAAATATAAACCAAGACTACTGAAAACTCACTAAAAATAATTAATAATTTTCATCTAATTCCTAACAACATGCTTACGTTATACGGTTGATTGGCAGTCGGTGTGACAAAAAATAATTGGTGTAAGTACAAAGTAAATGAAGTGTGATGATGGATATAAGATGTTCCAAGTCTAAAAATTAGCTTCCCAATGAATTATTTTAGGTTTTTCAAAAATAACCATGTTTTTTAACTTAATACAGCAATTGCTCAATTACCTGAAAATGGATTTGAGTAGATGATGTCATTTTCGTGTTCTAAATTAAATGTTGAATAAGAATAATATAAAATGGTGGAAGATCAATAGTAAAACCCCCATTGTAAATAGATCCAAAGATAAAAAAATAAGGTCCAAAGATCCAATGATGTGCCTTCATTTAGTCTCTTACAAACGCTATGCAGGCGTGTACTGCAAATCACGGAGACTGAAACTGAAGGTGCCAATAAATGTCCATACAATCTTTGTGATATCCACAGCTGGTCTTAAAGCCACGTTTTTTCCATTGTTTGTATTCATTAATAAGTATAATATTAATTTACCATGAAATAGATTTATTAATACTCCTACTTCTACAAGTATTTTCAGTTGTATATTATTTAATTGTTTAAACAATAGAATTTTTTTAGAGCCCTTGGATTTTGACCATGGACTAAACATGCTTCAATTAACTGATTCTTCATACTGTAAAAATTTAAAGTTAGTTTATTTTTAAGTCTTCAGACAATTATTTGTCCAACCCGAAAGAGATTTTTTGCCCTAATTCGCTAAGTGGATCTCCAAAATAACATAGAACCATTCAAATAATTTGTATATTTAATTATACAATATAAATGCTAGAATTAATTACAAATACTTGTGTAATTCGGCGAGTTTTTTTTCTTCCTGCTACCAAAAAGTTATAAGACATTAACCTGTCCAGAAGTAACTTGTGAATTATTTGGCAATGTTGGTTTATACAAATTATATGATACAATGTTTTCCTAAAATCCACTACCTAGCTACTACACATTGTATGTCCTCACAGAAAAAATCTAAGTGTCCATATCCCAGGGCCAAGTAATTGGTGACCAAAATCCAGGAGTTTAAAAACAAAATTCCAAGAGCTAAAAGACGAAAGTCTATTAGACTAAAGAAAAATACAAAAGACCAGGCCCGTGATTTGCATGTGATGTTTTATGGACCCAAGAGATAATCCACCTGACCTTGTAGGGGAATTTTTCTCTTTCGTGCAACCCTAACAAACCTAACACCTCTTGCGTCCCTGTGCCCATTTATGGAAGCGGCCCTGCAAAAGTCCAAGAGTCTAAAGACTAAAGTCCAAGAGTCTAAAGACAAAAGTCCAAGAGTCTAAAGAACAAGGTCCAAGAGTCTAAAGACAAAAAATAAAGAGTCTAAAGACAGAAGTCCAAGAGTCTAAAGACAAAAGTCCAAGAGTCTAAAGACTAAAGTCCAAAAGTCTTAAAGTCAAAAGTGCGGCTGTGCAAGAATGGCCCCTGTGTGACTGGTCTACTTTCTTTGAGCTCCACTTTCAGACAAGAAGGTCTACTTTGTATTCAAATTGTACGTTTGACAACAACAGGTAATCTGTCATCTGCACACTACTCAAGTGTGTTGACATTCTGACTGAGTTCGAGGTGATAAAACTGACAAATGTTTGATTAATACCAAGTAATAGAAGGTATTTGCACTAATTTGTGTAATAGTCAACTCAGTCCCTAGTCAACTGTTACCTAGTCTTTCAAACACTTTGTTTAAGTACCTCACTTTTTGTTTCTGTATATAGTTCTGTGTTTTTCAAATGATTTTTAACTATTTATTTTCTTGTTGTCTTTGTTATATTTAGTGAATATTCCATGTTATAGACCATGTTATACTATCTAGAATCTATTGCCCTTTTTTGGCACCTTTTTATTGTTGACGAGGTCTATTGTAACTCTGTTATTTAATGAACAATAAATATTTAATAAAGTGTTACAATGGGTTGCATTCTGAAAAG